TAACTTTTAGGTTTTTGAGCTTGGACTTTGTCCACTTAAATATATAACTTTATCACTGATTAGTTAATACAATTACTGAGATGCATTATGATTAGTGTTGCGATTCTGCTGTGGAAGAAACAATAACATAAAAAGATGTTAAGATAAGCTTTAAATTGCAGATATTTTCAACACCTATGAGCTGTTCAGACTAAGAAAACAACAAAAATTTTTTATTAACTACAGCTAATTCTCTTCCCTTTATTACTTGTGTTTAAGCACGTTCGGTTAAAGTTAACGTACCTCTGACTCTTAAACCAGTATTCTTTATACAGTAAGATCAGTACAGTAGGCATAGCTAGAAGTTGTACAATAACTGTTCCATATCAAAGACTACAGTGGATTCTGTCCTTCTGCAGATTTCCGTCAAGTTTATGATATATCTAAGTATTCCATCTGTGTATCTCCAACTCTATTCTAATGCATTTCAAATCGTTCATAAATAACATGGGGCAATGACCCGAGAAGGATTTCAGGTAGGTTCGGAGGATCAGAAATACTTCAGTAAATAAAGAATTTGTGTGTGATGTGTACCGGTTTAAACCTTATTTATACTTGAAAACTAAGAAAAAGTCCTCAAAAACTATATCACTTGAAGAGTAAACTTGCTCATGTCGAGTATACAAGATCCTTTCTACCAAGCAAGGCGAGTTACTAATTTAAAATAATGACAAAGGATATGTACCATTAAAATTCAAGAAAGCAAAAAAAGTCGATCCAACTGGTGTTTTTGGTGTTATTTTTACAATGCACGTCCTGATACGGAAAGGTTTTATGTAATTGAAAATAACCTTCATACAGCGACAAACTAATAAATTTTGTGTAACATTATTTAAAATCGTACGTAGACTGCAGATAATGTTAACTAACTGGATATAGTACTTTTCTAAAGGTAGATAAATATACCAGATTGCACAGGTTCAAATGAAAAAGCATCGTGTGTATAATGTTAGTTTTTCATATTACAATTCATATTGTAGCATAAATTGTTTAGATTAGTTTTTCATATTACAATTTATATTGAAGCATAAATTGTTTAAGGCTAGTTTTTTATATTACAATTCATATTGTAGCATAAATTGTTTAAGGTTAGTTTTTCATATTACAATTTATATTGAAACATAAATTGTTTAAGGTTAGTTTTTCATATTACAATTTATATTGAAGCATAAATTGTTTAAGGTTAGTTTTTCATATTACAATTTATATTGAAGCATAAATTGTTTAAGGTTAGTTTTTCATATTACAATTTATATTGAAGCATGAATTGTTTAAGGTTAGTTTTTCATATTACAATTTATATTGAAGCATAAATTGTTTAAGGTTAGTTTTTCATATTACAATTTATATTGAAGCATAAATTGTTTAAGGTTAGTTTTTCATATTACAATTTATATTAAAGCATAAATTGTTTAAGGTTAGTTTTTCATATTACAATTTATATTAAGGCATAAATTGCTTAAGGCTAGTTTTTCATATTACAATTTATATTGAAGCATAAATTGTTTAAGGTTAGTTTTTCATATTACAATTTATATTGAAGCATAAATTGTTTAAGGCTAGTTTTTCATATTACAATTTATATTGAAGCATAAATTGTTTAAGGCTAGTTTTTCATATTACAATTTATATTGAAGCATAAATTGTTTTGCCTCGCAATATTAACGCTGTCTAATGTGGGCCAAGGAGAAAGATTTTCATATTAAAACATAAAGAAAGTATTTACTTTTTGCCCAATAGAAATTCTTCCAATGTCTGACTTAACAATCATTTGACTTTTCAAGTGGTTAGCTCCTTGAAGATTTTTATTAAAAAATTAGAATGTTTTATTTTGAAACGTCTGTGTTTACATATCTACACAGTTACGAAAAAGCTAAATTCGACCAGAGCTAAATAAAGACGTAATAATGGCAACAAAAATGTAATTTTGAAACGTATCAAGTCAAAGCTTCATTGATCAGCAATGTTTAAAATGCATAACCGGGTCGAAACATGCTTTACCAGTTACAAGTAAAATTGCAGATTCGGAAAAGTAGAGTAAGAAAATTGAATTCTATATCTATTTTTCCGATTAATAATCAATTGTATTTGACACCTTTCAAGATCACCATTTTCCTTTTATTGTAAAAACTTTATGTAATTTTGTGTGCAGTATTTTGTTAACAAGATTGCTAAAAGTCTTTATTAATTCATTGTACATAATTCTACGTAACTATATATATATAAAGAAAGAGAGAGAGAAAAACAAGAAATTACGTAATCTCAGACATAGTATTGGCCAAAAGGCCTCGTCAACACTGGATATAACGATATTGTTGTGGGTTGACATATTATCACGTATTCTTCTTTACTTGCATTCATAAGTTCTTGGAAACTCATAAATTGCCAGATGAGGGCGCTATACTCGCAATCTGCGGATCGCAAGTTCGAATCTCATAACTGAACATTCTTGCCCTTTCAGCGATGGGAAATTATAACAGTTATTTCCATTACTCGATTAGAGTAGCTTAAGAGTTGGCGGTGGGTAGTGTTTACTAACTATCTTCCTTCTAGTCTCTATCATTTCTAAATTAGGATCGGCTAGCGCAGATGGCAAAATCTAACAAACATAGCTTTCATAAATCTTTTTTTTTTTCCCCTTCTCGAATTGGTTCCATGGTGTTTTCAAAATATCCTTTGATTTTATTTAAATACGATAAAATTAGTAAAATATTTGCATAATATTTATAAAAAAGTAAAGTAAAGAACTAACAACACTCATCGTCCAAAATGACGTTTTGTAAAAATAACCTTATTTATATAAAACATAGAGTACTTATTACACACACACACATGTATATATATATATATATATATTGGCATGAAAGAAATTTTTAAGCAATTACTAAAACGATTTCCTTAAAACTGTCTTTTCGTTTTCTCCCCTAATACGTCAGAAAATACATTCATAACGTTGAATATAATCTTTTTTTTTTTAGAAATTCAAAAAGGTGATTTATTGTACAAATAAATATCTTCTCCGATATTTACATATGTTTTTCCAGATTGAAAATTTTATAAAGGTTTTCATCGTTTTCTTGAGAGGATAGCTAAGTAAGTTATATAAAATATCTTATGTGCTGTCTGAAGTTTTCGTGATCTTTCTCGATATCATTTGAATTAATTTTAACCGCAAGACAATGAATAATAACTAAACAAATATTTGTTTTCCACTCTCATTATAAGTCTACTTACCATTCCTACATTTGTCTACGTTAAACCATCTGTCTTTTAAATTTTCTGGATATAGTGATTACCTTAAAGAAATATTTTGGTTTTGGTCTTTCTCCTCAAACTTCTGATTTGAACGAAAATTGAAAGCAACAGATGAATGTTTATTTCAGTTTGTATAAGACGACTAATGAGAAACTCAATATTGTTTAGATTTAGTAGGCTTAAGAAACAAGTCAGTTTCAAGTTCATCTCCGTATTTCGTAATAACTAATACACGTTAAAAAAAGAACACACTTCTCAGTTCTTCAGAATTTGGGTTATATATTAGAATTAAATCAGTTCAAGACTTTAACAAAAACATTAAATTAGAAAAATATGTAATCTTAGAAAAACAAAAACATTTACGCAATCATCTTTCCAGGAAAAAATATTTTATATATTTGAAAATAAATCTAGAATATTTTCCAAAACAAATAATCAATACTAAAAACTGTGACAAAGAAGTGCTTACAAAGAAAGATACCATATTAAAAAACGGCCAGCAAAGAACATATTACAAAAAGGTATCTCATATTAAAAAACGGCCAGCAAAGAACATATTACAAAAAAAGTATCTCATATTAAAAAACAATCATACAAGAATCTTTCCAGAAAACGTATTTCGTATTAAAACAAGAAGGAATCCTCAATAGCCGCGGCACTTGAAATTATTTTAGGCAGGGTTAGAGTAAATTAATCTACGAGACCTTTATTTCTTTTTTATTAGCTACATTATTGTGCGCTAGCAATACCAAGCGTGGGGTACGCGTATTCCCGATTCAATTTTATTACTCATCAGGATCTCTATCAGCTTCCCCCCAAATTGAAATTCTTTTACTCAGGATTAGAGTAAGTTAATCTACGAGACTTTGGGCGTGGTCGAATATATCAATTGAAAGAGTTTGACCTTCTGAGTCCAAAACTATAATTAAATCTCAAATCGGTCAAGAGATGACACAGCGACGAGCTAAAAGTTTGTACTTAAAAGAAAAAAAAAAAAATTCAGAGCCGTTCTATGAGCCGCTATGCCGCGACTAAATACTGTCATCGGAAATATTATCTGAAAGAAGTACCCCATATGCAAAACAGTCATCCAAGGCTCTTTTAACCTGGTATCTCATCAAAAACAGTTAACCAAAATAGAGTATCCCGAGTTAAAAATATTCATCCAGAAATTGTATCTGAAATAAATATTCCACATTAAAAACTTTCACCCAGGGATCGTTTCTAAAAGATGCATTGCTTATAAAATAACCCTTTCAGTAATTTGTTTACAGTAGAAGGTATCCCCTTATTAAAAACAACCATCAAGAATGTTTTTCCAATCTTATTCAAAATGTCTCGATAGAATATTACAGACTTGTTTTTTAAAGATTATAAACTCATAAACACTAAAGCAGGATATCATAAGAATTGTCTGAGAAGCTGAGAAACCGCTTTAAAAAATAATAATGTGAATGAAAGATAATACATGTAGTATTACTAACATACATAACTTTTTCTCTAATTAATTAGGTCGTTAGCTGCCTAATTGTTAATATCAACAACATACTGGTCACTAGTAATATCTGAAAGTGGTAACACAAACAAATGTTCAAGTTTTAAAAACATACGTCTGAAGAAGTAGATATCGAGGCTTCATATCTTAGAAGTTGGGGAGGGTGAAAGTAAATAACGTGGAGAAGTAAGATGAACTTGATAATTCTTACCTATAGTTTTCTTTATTTCAAAGTCTTCCAGTCTATAATCTCTATCTCCATTAGTAGTAATCACAGGGAGTTCCTTCATTGTTGACGGTGTAGTTACGTTACTCTGTTTATCGTTCTCAGATACTTCCAAGCAATGTGACGCGGCTGCCATACATTAAAATCAAGTCAGTTAAAAAGAAGTTCTGTGTTCTCCCTTGAAGAAACTAGAAAAACACACAATATCTGTCATACAAGTTAGCACTTTAAAAGAAATACATGTGCTAATGGCCAACGCCCTGCACGAAGTTGATAAAATAAACAGCTCGTGGAGGATGCACTTGTGTAATGGAGATGATTTGCCAAAAAAGTATGGTTTGAAATAACACCAGTCTTCTCTGTGATCAGTTGTACTAGTCAGGGAATGCACAACACATGCTTGACACACAAAGTTTTATGAATTGTATCTGATAAAAGAACAGAGCCGTCTCTTATAAACAGGTAACGGGTTTATTACCGAGGTGATAGTACCTCTGTTCTCCTCAGACTGGCCTCTTTAGAAACTACTGCTGCTCTCGTGTTAAACCTGACGATTGGCTGATGTTTGGACGCTAGTTCCCTCTAGTGTCGCTTTCGGTACCTTATAAATCTGTCGTTTTTTTCGAAAGAAACCAGCTGTGAAAGTAGAATTGTACTGTACATGAGAAACCCGTAAAAAGAATTTTTCACAAACGAACAGGTTTTTACTGATTTTCATCAACCATTTACTTTAAAATACATTATTAATTTTACATTTATCATACAACATGGTCGGTCGTTTGCTTTCGTGCATAAGATGGCAAAAGTACATCTAATTTTGAACAAAGAACCAAATACAATGGATTAACCTACATGTTATCATTTAATTCGTTTATTTTTTATATAAGAAATAAATAAATTCTGAGTACATCTCAAAAAACACCATTATCATCACTTTTTAAATATATATATATATATAGCTAATATAACAGACTTCATAAGTACAACACGTACTAAGCAGGTTTATAAACATTAATTTAGTCAAACTATATAGAATGTTGAACGTTAAAGAAAATAAACTCTTATGGAAACGTTTCTTCTGTCATACATCATAACATATTTGCCCATAAAGAAAAAATTATTGGAACACTTTCCCAAAGTGATATCACTTGTTCTACACGTAGTGTTCGGATCTGTATATATCAAGATAAGCACTAATTACATTCTTCTCTACTAACTGCTAGATAACTTGATCTTCTCAAATAAATCTCTGTTTGGAAAAATAAGGTAAAAATATAAATACATCACTCATACACAGCTTTAAAAAGAATGGTTAAGAACTTCTGATCAAAAGTGTGACTGTTAATAATGTATATACAATAACTAAAATATTTTAAGATAACATATCCATTCATGAATGCAATCGGGTTTACCAATTTGTCTAAAAATACTTGATGTTATAAATCAGTACAGCAGAAAAGTAGAATCTATAATGACTAGATTGCATTTATTCACCAGATGAACACTGTAGCTTTAATGATATTAACGGCCATAATGGAATTCAAATTTTAGACCAAGTCACAAGTTCATAAGTGTAAAAAAAAGAACAAAACACATACAAGTAAATATGTGATAATTAACAACTAGTCTGAAAACAAAGTTCATCGCCCAGACTTTCAAACGAAATTACAAGATTAACTAACGAGATGAATTATTTACATAATGTCAGTCCCCTCTTCGTGTGTATATAAAGGCTGCTTTACTTTAAGTACTGCATGAAATAAACATCGTATTACACCTTAACTAGTTAATTTACATACGTGTAAGTTTGTTTGTTTGTTTTTAGAACAAAGCCACATTAGGCTATCTACTGAGCCTACCGCGGGGAATCGAACACCGGATTTAGCGTTGTAAGTCCGTATAATTACCGCTGTTCCACCGGGGGTCACACGTGTAAGAAAGTAAAAATCAAACACCAAAAACGAATATGTTTAAATATAAGTCGGCTCTCATTGTTCTTTCTGGCTTGTGTGGTGTTAAATTGATTGGTCAATCACTAAGGAATCACGAACGTTTTATTTATAGAGAGAGGGGTGGACAAAAGTAAAAGACGGGAGAGTTTGGGACTACTCCTAATTGTGGATGATAGTATTTGAAAAGCGTTTTAAATTTAATGTTCTGTTATTTGTTAATGAAATGAGACCATTACAAAGTTATAAACTATGCCTACTGTTCTCTTATGAAAACAATAGTGTCATAGTATTAATAATTACGGCTTATTTGTACCGAATATATTTCTGTATTGGAAGAAAATTATTAAATGCATGCAAGTTCGTCCTTGTTATTGTTAGTTGTTGGCTGACATTAATACAATATATTCTTAAGCTTGATATTTCATTCTCAGTGTTGTCACCAACACAGTGTAAATATTCTTATTATTTTAACGCTGTATAGTTACCTTACTTACGACCGTTGAGATAATGTAGATGCTAATGCGTCATCGGTGATTCTCGGAAGATTTATCTGCTGGCACGTATCTCCTCTCCAATTCGTGACCTACCTAATGTCTCATGACAAATAAAATTGTAAGCCTTCTTCGTCTATATGAAAAGCCCCCCCCCCCAGTGGCACAGCGGTATGTCTGCGGACTTACAACGCTAGAAACCAGGTTTCGATACCTGTGGAGGGCAGAGCGCAGATAGCCCTTATGTAGCTTTGTGCATAATTAAAAACAAACTATTTGTAAAAGGTGTACAATCAAAATAATTATTAAACGCGTATTGTATTTCTTGTGTCACAATAAATAATTATCCCTCGCCTTTTTTTGAATATTTGGTGCCCTCTCACCACAATTTGTTGAACTACACATACACGTGTGTGTAGTTTATTCAGACGTTTACAAAAACATTTTTTTTTCGTTATTATAAACCCCGGAAAAGAAAACTGAAAGGGCACGTGTTTTTTGTTTTTTTATTATTATTATAGGAAGTTGGATAATATTTAAGAGCGGGTTATGTTCAGGTTGGGAGGGTTTCCTTGCTGAATGACATTAATGGACCAAATGACATATTGTCACCTACAGAGGGTTGAGTAAAGCGATCTGGCATATTGTCACCGACAGAGGGTTGAGTAAAGCGATCAGGCATATTGTCACCTACAGAGGGTTGAGTAAAGCGATCAGGCATATTGTCATCTACAGAGGGTTGAGTAAAGCGATCAGTCATATTGTCACCTACAGAGGGTTGAGTAAAGCGATCAGTCATATTGTCACCTACAGAGGGTTGAGTAAAGCGATCAGGCATATTGTCACCGACAGAGGGTTGAGTAAAGCGATCTGGTCATGCTCTATCTGAATGATTCTCAAACGTTTCAAGCTCACGTATCACTTTTTATTTATTTTTTTTAAAATTACAAATCCAGGCCTAATTTTTAAAAAAAACTTAAAAAACTAGTAACAAAAATTCATATTTTTAACACTTACCAATTAATGCGTAAGTGTTAAAAATTGTTTTTTCTGGCATGATTGAAGAATATGTGGTACCATTACCATTTTTGTTAATTTTAAGGAAGAAAATACTGACGAGTCTATGCAAGTAGAGTCCATAAGTGAGGGGAGTACTATGTATATATATATATATATATGTGGAAAACTCAAATATGGCTTACTACAAATTTTATGATTTGTTATATTAAGTGTGTCGTGTACCACTGACATTAGCTTCACGTACCACAGTTTGAGAATTCCTGCTCTACCTGACGATCATATCTTGAAAGTGGTCCTGCAGCGTAATTACCATGGCAAATGCTTCGTCGTAAGGCTGTCCTGTTCATGGCACATCACTCCATACGTGTAGACTTTCTATAATTCTTCTAGTGTATGATAACGGCGGTATCTAAGTGCTCGTTTCAACAGTCTGATTGCACATATATTAGTTATGTCTTCTTATGGAACAGAATGTATACTCGTTTCATTCCCCAACTGCTCGAGCTATGCTTTGTGCAATAAGAAATACGTATACTGAGCGTAGCGCTATGCAAGAACCTATACCACTACACTCCTTTGATATTGTTTTATATACTATGAAATGTCCTTATGCCAGACCCAGAAACTTTATTTATTATTATTATTGTATGACTAACTGACGTTTATCAGTTTAATTCTATCAGTTAAATTAATAAAAGCTGTTAATACTAAAAGCATAGTTGTTAACCTGTAATATAATCAATTGTTTTTATACAGTTCACTATCTATGGGGTGTATATATTGTATCATAACGACTAACCTCATGTCTTTGTTTGTTACAGCACTCTGTGGGAAGAAATTGCTGAAGAAGTTAGATGAAATGTTAAATAACCAATTTTCTATGTGGTATATATAGAGAGAACCCCAACAGGATTTAATAGGATTAATCGCAATGTTTATAATTTTTTGTGTAGTTCATATGTGATAGGCATCCTGTATCCAACAAAGTAATGGACACAAGGAAAAATTGATGCATGAATAGTTCAGAAAAAGATATTTCAAAGCAGGTAGTTTCTATGCGGACCACATCGATAATACAAAGATTGATTTATTTTAGTAGTAAATAAATGTTTATACATTTGAATTAAAGTCATATTGCTGTGTTAAAGTGACACTGTTTTAATTTAACTCCTAAACTCGAATGTTCAGTTTTTATTAAAAATCGGTCATGCAACTGTGAAGTTCGTAAGTTAACGCTAAATACAAAAGCCTTGAACCATGACACGATTTCGTCATTTACCTACTTCACGATGAGATAGGGCGTGACCATATAATTAGAGCTCTAAGTCGGGGAATCCGAGGGTTAACAAACGCTCCCAACAGTTTCGGACGTGGCTGCTCTATAAGAACGACAATCAAATCCCATGCACTATTCAATCAGGAAAGATTAGTCAACAGATACTATTAACTAGATGCCTTCTCTCTACTCTATCAGATCAAAATTAGGGACGGCATCAACAAATGGTCTTTTGTGTAGCTTTATACAATATTTGTATAATACAGTATAATATTTGTGACGTCAGAATCTTTAAATGTGAGCTAATTTTCTGGTTATTCTATTTTTTATTCAAATATTTTTAATGCTGTAGCATAGAACAGTTTTCTGAAAGTAAGCAAATGTTGAAAAACTGTTTAAGAATTGACCAAAATAATTTTACACACTATTTTGTTATAAATCATATCCGACAATTTAACTATTAAGTAGAGGCCTAATATGTTTGATACTTGCATGAACTATAATCTGAAAATGTCAGCTGCGCATTATGTTCGTTTCTGACAATGTAAAACACCATAAACCAAAATTACTCTCAATATACCTGAGCGGACGTTATGTAATAGTCGTATTCAACAGTGAGATGCTTTTGTTCTAGCAGTTACAAAGTTTCCATAGAAACGTATAAATTACTTGATACTAAATTATTGTTATTGGTCGTGGTCAGTCAGATAGCCATGATCAACCACTGTTGTCCAACGCCTCAATTTCTTTTTTTTTTTGCGAAGGATAT